CCCCAAAACCCCAAAACCCCAAAACCCCAAAACCCCGCAAATCATTAATTCTTTAAAGAAGATGATATTAAAATAGATATTGATTTATAAACTTGAGTAATTTGATATATAAAAAATGAGCAAAAGGCCTAAAACTGTAATGTGCTACATATGGTACTCTAATTTATTTAATATCAATAATAGTGGACGAGAATTCGGTACTACATCTATTGAAATTCATTTAAAATCTTGTAAAAAGAAGTGGGATATTGAATAACAGCAAAAACCCCCAAAAGAAAGGAGACCATGTCCTGAAGCCCCTAAAAACTTTGACGATGTATGCCAATTTTAATGATTATTGAGAATAAAATAGATAGTAGCTGGCAATATGACTTCTGATAAGTTAGAGGAATATAATAATGATGCTTTTAAAAATTATAATGAGAAGGCATTAGAGCCTTGTTAGAATTGCGGCAGGACATTTCTCCCAGATAGATTAATTGTTCACTTGAAAAGTTGCAAAGGAAATTTGGAATAAAAACCAAGCGTAGGTAAAATAAAAGCTTCTTCTGGTTAAGGAGATGGCGATAGTGGAAAATTTGCTTAAAGTATGAAGAGTTAAAGCCCTGGAGATATTATTCAATAATAAAAAATTGCTGGTGGCAAAGGTGGGGGATTATCATCAAGTTAGAGTGCAAATTAGTTTAAGTCTCCTGAATTAAGCTAAACTTTTAAAAAGCCTAAGACTTTAGTATGCTACATTTGGTAAATTATTTGTTGACTTGACCGATATATAGTGGGAGAGAATTTGGAACTAGTAGTCTTGAAATACACATTAAATCATGCGCTAAAAAATGGGAAATAGAATAGAGTTAAAAGCCTAAGCATGAAAGAAAACCGTTACCATAAGCGCCTTAAAATTTCGATTAAATGCTTGGAGGTTCTTTATCTTAGGAAGATCTTGAATAATATAATCAGTCAGCGATGAAGGAGTTCAACGAAAAAGGAATGGATTAATGCCCAAATTGTGGAAGGACATTTTTACCTGATAGATTGATTGTTCATTTGAGAAGTTGCAATAAGGCTCATGGAGTAAAAGAGACTTAATAATCACCTTAGAAATCACTAGGGTCATCAATGGGAGGTGGGCCAGGATCATCAATGGGAGGTGGACCAGGATCACCAAAGCAGATTGTCAAACCAAAAACATTAGTTTGCTACATCTGGTAAGAAATAAAAATTTAAACTAAAAAATAGTGGTCGTGAATTTGGATCAGCTTCATTAGAAATTCATTTAAAGACATGCAAGCAAAAATGGGAGAATGAGCAAGCTTAGAAGCCAAAGCATGAAAGAAAACCTATTCCATAACCTCCGAAAAATTTCGATGATATGCTAGCAGGCAAAGTCTCAGGAGAAAAACTTGAGTAGTATAATGATAATGCGCTTAAAGAGTACAATGATAAAGCTTTAGATAGATGCCCTAACTGTGGAAGAACTTTTATACCAGATAGATTAGTAGTACATTTGAGAAGCTGCAATAAAGCACATGGAAAATCACCTGATGAAGGACCTAAAGGGGGAATGAGTTCATCGGGTGGAATGAATTCTAATTCATCACCATCAAAGGGTCCTGCCATTATTAAGCGACCAAAAACTATTTTCTGCTATATTTGGTATTATTGCTTTTGAATAATTTTGATTAGCGGAAGAGAATACGGCTCAATGTCAATAGAAATTCATATCAAAAGCTGCAAGCAGAAATGGGAAATTGAAGAAAGCAAGAAACCACCAAAAGAAAGAAGACCAGTTCCAGATGCTCCTAAAAGTTTTGATGAAGTTGTGATTGGAGCCAAATCTGGGCAAGGAGCTGATATTTAACAATATAATGAAGATGCATTCAAGTAGTACAATGAGGTATCACTTGTCCCCTGCCATAATTGTGGAAGGACATTTTTGCCAGACAGACTATAAATTCATCTTAAAAGTTGCGATAAAGCTCATCATTCTTAAAAGAAAGGTGGCGAGGATGTTTCAAAATCTACTTCTAGTTTATCAGAATCCTTTAAGAGTTAAGGATAGAATGCTTCTTTGAGCACTCCAGACTTGAGAAATAAAGCAATTAATGGATAAGATAGTTCATCATGCAATCTTTGTGGTAGATCATTCAGCTAAAACTTGATGGAAAACCATTTGAAATCATGCTAAAAGAGATGGTCAGCATCTGATAAGTTAAACGCTCTAAATTAATGATAAAATATTTATTCGATCTTAATGATATTTAACTTTGTTAATAAGCAATCAATATATTTTATCTATCTAATTTCACAAACATCAGCATGTAATTAACTTTAATTCAAGCAAATTCAACTGATACTTTTCAATTATCAATTGTATTATCATATGAGTAGTCAGCACTCTAGTCGTGTACTGGCTAAGCTTTGAATTTTCTAGTGGTGTTTGAAGGTTTCTTCTCTGGAGATTGTTAATACTCTTTAAGATTGTTGCTGATTTTTCTGGTTGAGACATTGAACTTCTTCTTAGAGAGTTGCGAGTCTTCCTTCTTCAAAACATGCAACAGAGTTTATGAGGATTCTAGGATTTTCATGAAAGCCTGTTCAGTCTCAGAGATTGTTCTATCAAATTCCTCTCTTGCTTCGTATTTCTTGAGGAGGGCATCACTCAATGATCCTAATCTTTCTGTTAAACTTGCGATTTCGCTTTCAATTTAATGCTTTTCCTCCTCATCCTTGATAATTTCCTCATGCAAATCATCCCTTCCAACTCTAATATTTTCAATATAACGAGACAAATCTTGGTTATATCTTTAGAGAGTAGCTCCTTAAGCAAACTAAAAGATTGATAAGATAAAATTGCAATAGTACTTGTTCACTCATTTAAATTGTGTCTGTTAAATTAATTACTAACAGATCAATAATTCATCATTTTGTGTCGATGGGGTTTTGGGGTTTTGGGGTTTTGGGG